AATTAATGACTTATATTTTATCAATTTTAGTATAACTGTATCTTTTAAATTTACTCTTATACTGTAAGTATTTTATTTTATATTTTCATATTATGTTTTAGTCTTTCTCTAAAGTATCCATAAAATACAATTATTAGGACCACTTGACAACTTTCTTGTTAGATTTGTATAATGTTTGACTTTGTTGAATTTTTACGTTTGAATTTCTGCTTGCAGACACTTTTGTGTCTTCATATTATAGCCTTGAATAATCGTGTTTTATAAAAGTATAATGTGATTATTGTTTTATTTGTTTTTCAATTTTGTGATATAAGTTAATATTGTTTTTTTTAATTTGAGTTTAAGTAATTATACCGTTATATATATATATATATATTAATGATTAAAAAATTAAAAAATATTATTTTATAATCATTTCTGGCTATTTAAAATAAAATTTAAATATTATTTATTATTTTGACGGTGCTACTCTCATTTTCAAGTTGCTGGATCATTTTTAAAAGTGTAGCAAGTTAAAACATTATTTTTTATTGCATTTAAAGCATTTAAAATTGTTGTTATTTAACAGGCCACGGGTAAGCCCGTTTAGCCCGCGTGTTAAATGGACGGGCCGCGGGCCTTAGAATTCAAAATCGTTTATGATTGCGGGCTTTTTAAACCGCTCCGTTTAAGCCCGCACCGTCAAAACCCGTGGGCTAAACGGGCGGGTAGCCCGTATACCCAACTCTAGGCATTAGTAATTTTCTTCCTTTTTCAGAGTTTTGTCGATAAAGAATGAAGATTGAAGAAGAAGAAGAAGAAGAAGAAGAAGAAACAGTGAGCTTTGGGTACAATTTTATATTTAAGCCATTGAAATGATGACACGTGTCATCTTTGTATTGGTTGAACATTATTAAAAAATTAATATAATTATTTTAAACAAAATTAATTTTTGCTGACGTGGCAAATGTCACGTCATCATCTTTGCATATGTGGAATTGCCACATCAGCGTGCGATGTTATGTAAACTTGTCATGTCATCTCCATGCGTTAACCGTTAGTTGACTAACGGTTTTCATCCAACGAGAGTGTTTTTTGACCTAAAATGAAACGTTAAGGGGTCAAATGTTCTAAAAAAAATAATACGGGAAAATTTGACACCACTGTCAAACGTTAAGGTTATTTTGTTGCATTATGCCTTTAAATAACTACATGATCATTTTTATAATATTCTACTCGATCATGGTTTTGATATTATAGGGTAGTGCTAAATATGATTTCTACTGGGACTGTATGGGTAGGATGGAGTATACAGGTTCAGCTCGGTCAAACTGGTAATTCCTTACGGACCTAAGGAGACCCTTGGGTAGGCCTATAGGACCTAAGGTACTCCCTTAGGGTGGCTCTTTTGTTGTATGCTTAGGGTAAGTTCTTATGGATGCAGTTTTGGGAAATTGTATAGAGGTGTTCGGTTGGAGGCTATTACTGTGGTTTTAAAATATGTTTTAAACTACTAATGTTTTTAAAGGATCTATATACATCACTTTGTTTTGTTGGAACACACTAGATATCCTATTCCGATCTCCTGAACTTGGTCCTCTGAATGTTTCCTTTGAACTGAAATCTTTATGTCTTTTACTCGAAGAAATATCAGTGGAACCATAGCTCATCCCGAAAACCTGTTGATGACTGAATCGATAAGGAAATTTTTTTATTCTTGCCTATTATCTTCATGTCCTTCAGTATCACTTGGTAATTCTGTATTATTGAGAATCCCAAAGCTCACTCTTTTACTCACCATTTCATGTTAAAAGAATCGAACCAATGCAACTATCGATATCAATAAAGGAGTTCCACTGGCGTTGCTTACGGAGTACGGTGCATGTGATTAGGGGGCATGTAGGTTGTATTATGTTTTTATATCCGAGTTTTAAACCTGTTTTAGTACTGGATATTGTTGAATTCTACTTTTAATATATATATATGAATGATTTTCTGAACTTGTATTTTAATTTTAAATTGTTTTATGATTTTACGTATTTTAACATAAATTTTAATTTTTCCTGGATTTTTCCTTTGGGTCGCTCCAGTGACCCTAATGTGATACATTTGATCGGATCGGGTCACCCGCATCGGTCTGAGGGTGTTACATAACAGACCGATTAATCGAACTTTATTCGGTTCAATTAATTATTTTCAAAAAAAATTTGGTTTCAGTTAACGTTTAAAGGGAAAAAATTAAGTTAATGAAATTTTAAAATTTCGGTTATGTCTCGGCTAATACGATATACATGATCCATGTCGCGGCTAATAAGTCCCAACTACCTAGAACACATCACCATAACATCCAACCTTACACCAAAGTAAACACGAGTTAGGCCAATATAAACACAAATGAGTTACAACCCAGGATAGCATAGCATCAAAGCGAATAGACCCAGAGATTTAAATCGAGCCACAACCCAGTAACACCCCAATAGTATAGTGACAAAGCAAATCGGCCCAGAGATACAATGTGAGTAATGATCCACCAAAACTCCTAAGACTTCGATTCAATACCCTACCATTGCATGTAACACGTGCAACATGATACAAAGCAGATATATTTCGTGTAGATAAGGATACTAAAAAAAACAAGACACTCGAGACATAAACTCAAACAACGATATACATGACAAACATATCACACAATTACAATTATATGCATACAATAATAGATCAGAATTTTGACAGGCATACATGCTTTACTTTAACATATTACACTTATAACGGGAAAGAACACATATACATACATCAAAATAATTATCAAATAGGTACGAGATTAATTCAAATGAATATAGGGGAGAACACACACCTATAAGATGGATTGTCACGACAAAATCATTGTGCAACATTTTCCTGTGATTATGAGCAGTAATGAGTCTGACTCGCTCTAACCCTATACAAAACAATTTATGCATCAGTCACCCAGATCAAATTCACTTACCCACATAAATATTGTTGATACTTCACATTATTCCAATAATATCAAGGGTCTGATTCGTTCGGCCCAATGGTCAAGTCCTCCACTATTAACATTGTTCTGTCTATGGTTGTTTCGCATGGTTGGACTTTGCGACAGTAGACGTGAATAATGCGTTCCTAAATGGGGAATTTGGTGAGGAAGTGTTTATGACACAACCTCTTGGCTTCCAACAACAGGCAAAGGATGGCTCACCCTTGGTGTGTAGGTTGACCAAGGCGATGTATGGAAGCAAGCACCACGAATGTGGCATGTAAAGCTTAAAGAGTTCTTGGTGACAATCAGATTCAAGGAGTCTGCAGCAGATGCCTCGTTGTTTGTGTAAAACAAGGGTGGATCATGTGCGTTCATGCTTGTGTATGTTGATGAGATTGTCATCATAGAAGACTCACCAACTGCAGTAGAAAACGTGGTGCTACAGTTGGGTGCCATGTTTTCTCTTAAAGACCTAGGGGAATTGCGCTACTTCCTTGGCATAGAAGTTTCAAGAGGCAAAGGTCAATTCGTGCTTGGACAACAGAAATTTATTCGAGAATTGCTGGAGCGAACTAAGATGAATGGGGCTAAACCTGCTTCAACCCCGATGGTTTTGTCACCCAAACTCTCGAATGATGCCGGTCAACTTCTCGATGATGTTCAAGAATTTACAAGTGTAGTAGGGGCACTAACTTAGTTTCTTGGAGCTCCCGGAAGCAAAGAACATTAGCTCATTCAACCACTAAAGCTGAGTATAGGAGTATTGCATGTTGTCTCTGAAATGTGTGGCTGCCAACATTGTTGCGAGATATGGAAATACAAGATGAAGTGCCTGTGGTATGGTGTGACAACACCAATGAAGTGACAATGAGTGTCAATCATGTCTTCCATGCGCGATCATGATCATGTAGAACTTGATATGTGTTTTGTGCGAGAAAAGGTGACAAGTGGAGAACTACGGGGGAATTATGTACCAACTACACATCAGGTGGATGATGGTCTAACGAAACCTTTGACCAAGTAGTACTTTGACTTATTTCGTCAAAAGGTTCAAGTAACTGATGATCAAGACACAGGAGAGTAGGTAGAATGTGGAGCTATGAGCTACATGCTAATCGTGAGACGATGACGGGAAAGATGAATGGTTAGATGGTTACTGCCACCTTCCTACTCTACTGTGTTCTCTATAAATAGTGTATTGTATCACTGATGAAGGATGAATAAAATTCAGCATATTTTTCACTCATGCTTCCCTCTTAAAGTATAACATGAGGATGGGAGGATGAGGGTATAAATAATGAGAAAAATATGAAGAGTTTTATTATATAATATGATTTATAAAAATATTAAAAATTAAAAAATTTAAAATACTTTATAATTTTAAAAATAAGTTATAAATTTTCATATTTTAATAGTATTCATATCATTGTTAAATTTTTTAAAATTATTACTTAAAATTAATAAAATTAAATTTTAATTACGATTAAAAGAACAAATAAAATATTATACAATAACTTAATATATCACCTGACCCTTTAAAAGCACTTAATAACAGCTAATAATCGGCGTTCATTTTATAGTAAAACTAAAATTTTAATTCTCATTTTATACTTTTAAAATTACTAAATACTTTAACCACATTTACATACTTCACCCAAAATGATCTTTTAATTTACCGATAAATGAATATATTTTTAAAAAATTAATTTCACATATTCTTTCTCAAACAATTAAACGAGAGGTTCAATTTTTTTGCAGTTCATGCCGGCAATTTTCATTTTTTTAGCTTAAATTAATATTTGCTCTAAATATTGTCAGATGGTATGACGTTTAATCACTTTTACAGTCGCAAGTTTTAAACCCATAACCTTTAAAAATAATAATTCCTTTAACCACTAAGGTAAGTTGATTTATGTCTTTTTTTTTCTTTCACGAAAAAAAAATAAAAATATTAAAAAGAACAGAACTTGTATAGAAAACAAATACATGTGCAATAAATTAGCAAGCAAAATCATGATTAAGAAAAATCCATTTCAATATTAGGTACTGCTTTTAGTCTGCATGTTGCTTTGTTTAAGCATACTCACTAAAGCCTAAACAGACTAGCCTTACAAGATCATCTTTTCTATTAAGATTTTAAATGCAAAGATGTTTAAACATTTGTCTTACGGGGTTAGGATTCGCAATCGGAGGCTCACCGGAAAGTTGCACTTCTGTTCCCAGATGCCGGGAAAGCCTGTCGCCGTCTAGCTTGCGGAAATTGTTTAGACCCATCATCTATTTCAAGTCGCCCAACTGCTGAACCTTTTTTCTTCTTACCTGCATAGTTTGTATGGCTTCCTGATTCTTCCTCTGCATCTTCTCCAAACTTGACCTCCTTCCTGGCTGCTTCATAATCAAATGACTTTATTTGCAAAAGACCACTCGGTTCTTTTGATTTCTTCACTTTAACCGCTTTTGTGTTTTGATTCATAGACTCAAAGCACAGTTGGAAGCTTGTGGATAAATCGGATAAAGACATGGTCTCGTCTTCTTTCTCGATTTCAGAGGAAGGTGTCATGGAAGTTTCCTCAGGTCTATCAGTTACTTCTCTGTTATCGCTGCCATCAATTTGTTCATCTTTATTCGAATTATCTTCCAACATGATAACATCTTCTACTGTCGACGATTCGGTAGCTATCAGAACAGAAGGATCCTCGGGTTGTGGAACTTCTGGAAGTTTAGTTGGCTCAATCGCTGGGGTTTTCGACAGCTCCTCTGTTCCCAAAAATGAGTGAAACGAAAAGTTTACTGAAGATCTTATCTGCGCCAACTTACTCTCTTCCTTCTCCTAAATGACAATAAACAAATTAGTAATAACTTTGCACAATAAATGCACAAAGGAATCAAAATTACAAATAATCTCAACAGAGAGGAGTGCGATTGTCATAGACTGCAACACCATTTTGACTAGCTTAATTGTTGCAACAAAATCAAAAGCTAGAATAGCAAGAAAGGAATAACAAAAACTTACCATTTTCTCGATACCAACTTTTTTCTTTATGGAAGCATTCCCCAGAAGTGCTCCAAGGCCACGGCTCGGTTTCTTTAGAATCAGGATTGTTGCTTCAGTTGCCTACAGGAAACAAATATTTCATCGACTACTAGTCAAAAAATAGATGCATCTACAAAAGGATTAGCAACTTGCTACCTTTGCAGAAGGTGCAATAACTGTAGAAGCATTTGCATCTCCACTCTCCCACGAGCTGGCAAGATTTTCTCTCGCGTGCATTGAGCTACCATTCACATGTGGCTCAAAAGAGAATCCTTGTTTTTTGCCTGTGTCAAGTTCAGTGATACTGCTTCCAATGTTGATCAATTCCTGTTTATGTTGTGGAGAAGAATATTGTGCAGTTATCCCATCAGGTCCCTTGTTCGAGTCTGCTGGAACCTCAGGAAGTAAGACCTTGGCTCCCTTGTTCGATGCTATATGTTCTGGTGTCTACACAGTAGAAATCTTACAGTTATCTCGACAAACAGTAATTATAAAATTAACATTTTCCCAACCCATGGCCGGTTCAACGAAACAAACACTAATGAGGAAGCAGCGCAAAGAATGGTATGAAATCAGCAATTTTCAACCCATTCTTTAGACTAAAATGGTTTCTAATAAGCATAACATTTTATCAGACTTCATGTAACTGAATCAAATCAATTGGCACACTTCACTTTTGTAGCTTTAATATATTAACATTACGAATCACTTGGTGGGCTTTGTTTTCCGAGTCATACAAACAGCCCAACAAAATATTATAATATATTAGGATTATCAAATCACTGTATTGAATCTTACACTTAGTGTACGTCCCATTTTAAGTTGTTGAGCAGCAGCTTCAAATGCAACAGCATTCTGCATAGATTGCCTTATGATGCTAACAAGCACACCAAGATTTCGTTCCACATATGGGTGTTTAGATTTCAACAACCGACGCAATTTATGAGCAGTTACAGGCATCTGCTTGGCTTTTAGAGGTAAGAAAAACAAAAACTTAGTAAAAATACCAATAAGAAATACGGAAAAGGAATGATATATTTACTAGAATTTGATAAAAACATGAAAGTTCCTACCGATTTCAAGAAGTGTTTTGTTTGGCAATACGTAACCAGTACTTTCATCCTCTACACGGGCAATATTGTCTCGCCATTCACAAAGCCCCTATAAGCCATTTAGGTGAGACATATAAGCGAAATAAATGGATATCATCTATTTTGGCTAGTAAGACTATTGTACATCAAATACATTTATCTGAGTTGAAATTATACATTTCTTATGGTTCAACAACCAATCTGTATGTTATTTTAGAAGTAAACAAAGGGTCACATAGATATGAAAACAACAAAAACTTACAGCAACAATTGCTAGCTGCTCAGAGTTGAAACCAGCCACCTGCAACCTATATTAAATAGAAGAATAATTACTTAATTGAAGTTTACGGAATACATTTAAATTTTCTAGCTTGAGCAAGTAACAAACCCATATATATGGAGATATGAATTCTCTGTCAGGATCTCTTTCTCATACAGTTGCATACATACTTCAAAACTTCGCTTGTAGACCTGCAAGCAACAGAACATTTGCTACTAAGACAATAGTCAAGAATAAATAACAGAAAGCAACCAAGTTCACGGATTCATACATCCATTTAAACTTTTTTATTTTGATAAGAATATTAGGCCTCATTAAAAACCCCCTTCATGATTTAAGGAACTTGAAAAATAGTTCCTTAATCAGCGGAAGGAGGAAAAGAGTGCCCTAGGATTTCATTAACAACAATATCAATATAGGAATACAACACCTAACTCCCTTAAGGAGATAAAAAAACCAAAAGGAACATCCTTTAAAAATAACATGAGGATTAACCAATGCCAGCCTTAGCTAGGACATCTGCCTCTAGGTTAGCAGTCCTATTAACCCATCTAATAACGCCTTCATAATCTTTGAGTTTTTGAATAATATCTTTAACAATATGAACATAAACAGCAGGACATAGAACAGTGTCCTTATCCCAGTCAACAGCCACCCTACTATCACTCTCGATAATCAAACGTTCCTTATATCTCTGTCGAATAGATTCAAAGAAAACCATACCCTTTAGGATAACTTTCAATTCCATCATTGTAGGAGGCCCTGGACCAGCAGGCTCTTTGAAAGATGCTAGGATCGAACCAGATACGTCTTTAAGAACACCACCTAAACCACTCCTCTTCCAATCACTAGTAGTAGCAGCATCCACATTAAGTTTAATAAAGCCCTTGGGAGGAGGGGACCACGGACACTTTGATAAAATCCGATTAGAATATGGTAAGCAAGAATCCCCTAAGGAAGGATCAGCAATAAGACAATCCTTAGAGATAGAAACCTGAGAATTTTTTGCTAAAAACCATGAAGCAAGCCTGAACCTTGCTAAAAAGAAAATTTCAGCTTGATCTAGCTTCCCTCCTTCAAACACAATAAAATTCCTAGTTTTCCATATTGTCCATAGAACCACTCCAGGAATAAATGACCATATGAGAGAGTTAGACCTCAATTCTGCCCAGGCTAGAAGAAAACTTTTAGCATCCACTTGAAAAACAGACTGAATATTCCAGTAGCACATGAACTTGTTCCAAATTGACCAAACAACCGAACAAGAAAAGAAAAAATGGGAGGGGGTCTCTTCCATTAACATCCATTTAAACTTGTTGTTAAGGAAGATGCAAGGAGCAAGAAAAGTCAATTTCTGTTATGGTTTTAGATGATTTAGAAGAGAAAGTGAGAAATAGGTAATAGGAATAGAGAAATTAGAGAGAATTCAGAGAAGAAAATGATCGTTCATTCATGACATCCTGGAAAAATATTCACTCAGCCAATTTATTTAGTTACAATGCCAACAGAAGGATTGCCAGCTGGCTGTCCTTTCTAACAAAATATAACAACCCTTTAATGCTTTGTCTTCTTCTGCAGATACTGGACTAGCTGACTTGGGCTGCCTTCATTCTTCTTGGGCCGGCTCCATCATCTGATATGAATCAGCCTGCTCTACTTCAGGTAATTCCTTAGCCCCTTTCTCACGTGCTTTAATCCTTAATTTCTCTTGCTCAATCCCTAACATTCGCAATTCTTCCCCCAATTCTTCCCCCAATTCTTCCTCGCGTTCTCTCCCTTCTCCTTCCACCATGACAATACCCACCCCTCGAGATGATCCTTGTCCCCAAGGATCAAAAGAAGGAAACTGTCCGCGGAGAACAGAGTAATCCTCCCAAGTATCGTTCGACTCGTCGAGGTTAGTCCATCTCACTAACAACTGAGTAACTGGTCGATTATTACGATTGACGATTCTTCTTCCCAAGATTTTACTTGGCTCTATGCGAAACTGACCCCCTTCATCTATCACAGGAGGATCTGTCAAGGCTGTTACTGTAGAGCCAATATGCTTCTTCAACAGACTGACATGGAAGACAGGGTGTAATCGAGATGCTTCTGGTAAGTCAAGTTTATATGCCACTTCTCCAATTTTCTCTAAGATTTTGTAAGGCCCGTAAAATTTGGCTGCTAATTTCAGATTCCTCCTCAGTGCAAGGGATGTTTGACGATACGGCTGCAGTTTGAGGTAAACCCAATCCCCTATTGCAAAATTTCGTTCAGAACGCTTTTTATCTGCCTGCTGTTTCATTCTGTTTGCAGCATTTTCTAGTTGTTGTTTCACAATTTGCCTGATCTCTTCCCTGCTCCTCATTAGTTCCCCAACAGATTGTATCGTTGTTTCAGTCTCCCAAACCATTGTAGGAGGTTTATAGCCATATAGAGCTTGAAAGGGTGTTAGGTTTAGTGCTGTATGATAAGTAGTATTGTACCACCATTCAGCATGTGGCAACCATTTAGCCCATTGCTTTGGTCGAAAAAAACATAGCCCTCTTAAATACTGTTCAAGGCATTGATTCACCCTTTCTGTTTGACCATCAGTCTCAGGATGGTAAGCAGTGCTGAATAGTGTAGTAGTGCCAAGCTGCTTCATTAGTTCTTTCCAAAAGAGGCTAGTGAATGTCTTGTCCCTATCTGAAATAGCTAGTTTAGGCTGACCATGTAGCTTGTAGACATTATTTAAGTACAACGTAGCTACCTCAACCACAGTGTAAGGGTGGGATAATGCCATAAAATGACTGTATTTTGTAAACTTATCCACCACCACCAATATACAGTTTTTCTTCAATGAAGTAGGTAAGCCATCAATAAAATCCATAGTAACCACCTCCCAAGCCTGGTGAGGAATAGGTAAAGGCTGTAGCAAACCTGGTTTAGGCACATGTTCTACCTTAGTTTGTTGACAAACTTTACAACATCTGACATAAGTGGCTACCATAGTTTTAAGTCCAGGCCAATAAAAATATGATCTTATCCTCTGGTAAGTAGCTTGAATTCCTGAATGGCCCCCATGAGGGGAATCATGTAATGTTTGCAGAATTTGAAGCCTCAAAGACCCAGTAGGACCAATATAAACTCTGCCTTTAAATCGTAGTATTCCTTTGGAAAATTTCCAATTAGGATCAGCAGTAGCATTCACAATTAATATTTTGATCCAATCAGCAGCCAATTTGTCATCCTTATAACTGCCTTCCACTTCTGTCACCCAACTAGGAATGATCAGAGTAGTTCCCATAGCCCACAGTTGACTATGATCTTCCCATTGCCTAGACAAAGCATCTGCCACAATATTTGACTTACCCTTTCTGTATTGAATAGAGTAATCAAGCCCCAATAATTTAGTCAGCCCCTTCTTCTGAATTGTGGTGGTCAATTTCTGCTCTAATAAATACTTTAGAGGCTCATGATCAGTTTTAATAATAAATGGCTTACTCTCCAAATAATGCCTCCATTTAGAAACTGCTAATAATATAACAAGATACTCCTTTTCATAAATGGAGAGATCAACATGTCTAGGACTGAGAGCCTTACTTAGATAAGCAATAGGTCTGCCTTCCTGAGATAACACAGCACCAATACCCCCTGAACTAGCATCAGTTTCTAAATAGAAACTCTTAGTGAAATCAGGTAAAGCTAAAACAGGAGCAATACACATGGCCTGTTTTAAGTTTTCAAAAGCAGTCAAAGCTGCAGAAGACCATTGAAAACTGTCCTTAGTAAGCATCTGAGTCAAGGGCTTACTTATGGAACCATAGTGTTTAATAAACCTCCTATAGTAACCAGTCAAACCCAAAAATCCACGCAGAGACTTTAAAGATTTAGGAAGAGGCCAATTCTTCATAGCTTCTATCTTAGTAGGATCTGTTGCCACACCTGCTGCTGAAATAATATGCCCCAAGTACTCCACTTGGGTCTGTCCAAAAAAACACTTGGACAGTTTTGCAAATAACTGATTTGCTTTCAAAACCTCCAAAACCAATTGCAAATGAGTAATATGTTCTGCCATGGAATTACTGTAGACTAATATATCATCAAAAAACACCAAAACAAACTTTCTAAGAAATGATTTAAACAAATCATTCATTAATGCTTGAAATGTAGCAGGGGCATTAGTAAGACCAAATGGCATTACCTTGAATTCATAATGCCCTTGATGAGTTCTGAATGCTGTTTTGTAGATATCCTCCTCTTTAATTCTGATTTGCCAATAGCCTGACCTTAAGTCAATTTTGGAAAAATAAACTGCACCATATAACTCATCTAATAGATCTTCCACCACAGGAATAGGAAACTTGTCCTTTACTGTCAGATTGTTTAATTGTCTGTAATCAACACAAAACCTCCAAGTCCCATCCTTTTTCTTAATTAAGAGGCATGGTGAAGCAAAGGGACTCTTGCTAGGTTGAATAATAGAGGAGTCTAACATTTTAGCAATCTGCTGTTCTACTTCTGTCTTCTGGTTATGAGGAAATCTGTAGGGTCTGAGATTAATAGGACTAGAACCAGGTTTGAGAGGAATAACATGATCATGAGTCCTTGTAGGAGGTAACCCTGTAAGTTCAGCAAAAACAGAGGTATACCTCTTTAAAAGAGGTTTGAGAGCTGCAGGAATTGATTTAGGAGTATCATTCATACTCAACAGAATCACATGCCCCAATATAGCAGCATTAGATGCTGTCATTTTTAATAAAGTAGCACCTGAAATCTGCTGCAACAGTAGTGAAGGTTGCTGTCCTTGTATAACAATATTTGCACCTTGATGGTCAAAACTCATTGTCATTTTATTGAAATCCATCAAAATTGGACTATATAATCTCATCCAATCCACCCCTAAAACCATATCACTTCCTCCTAATTTAAGGAGTCTAAAGTCATGTATGAATGAGTGTCCTTGCATCTGCCACTGCACTTTGTTGCATCTAGCTGAACTATAGAGCTGTTGGCCATTAGCTACTGTGATAGCTAAAGGGTAGGGAGTTAGAACTTGAATTCCAGCATCAGCCCATTCAGGTGTCAAAAAACTGTGTGTACTCCCACTGTCAATCAGAATGTTCAAAGGTCTGCCCTGAATTGTTCCTTGAATTCTCAATGTATTATGGCTAATACAACCAGTAATTGCATTCATTGATATTTCTAAACTTTCCTCTTCTTGCATTGTCTGCTGTTCTGAGTCAGTAGGAACAGAATCTGTAGGAATAATATTCTCCTCTTCAATCATCATATTCAAGTTTCTTGTCTTACACTGATGGCCAGGCTGAAATTTGTCACCACACTTAAAACAAAGGTTATTTTGCCTTCTGTAATCAATGAGATTCTGTTTAGGATTAGAAATTGGTGCGGATTTAATAGGTAATGGCATTGAATTTGTCTTGGAATTAGTAATGGGGTTTGGGTAGGGTGGGACTTTAAAGGAAGGTCTCAACCTTCTGTTTTCAAACTCCACAGATAACTCATAGAGCTTAGCTTGTTTGCATGCCTCAAACAAATTTTTAGGATCTAAAGCTTTTACTCTATGTTTGATGTCTTCCCTAAGTCCACTTATAAAAAGTGACACAAAGAAACCCTCACTCAAAGTAGGATTCTGTAATAACATGTGTGGTTGTAGCTCCTCAAACCTTTCTTGATAGTCTTCAACAGATCCTTTCTGAGTAAGCTTAGTGAATTCCTCCACAATGTCAGAAAAAGACCTATCACTAAATCTATGACACAAGTCAGCTTCAAACTCATGCCAAGTTACATGATGCTTCTGCATAATATAGCCATCAAACCATATTTCTGCTTTTCCTTGAAGATACATAGTAGCCACTTCCACCCTTTGATCCCTATGAACATTGCATAGAGAAAAATACTTCAAACACTTCTGAAGCCACCCCCTAGGATTTATCCCTTCAAAAAATGGCAGCTCAACTTTAGGTCTCTGCCACAAAGAACCCCCTGGTCCCCTGTTTTCAGCTTCCCATCCCAGCATAATAGGTCTACTGTTACTGTTTTCACCCATTTGATTTTCATGCCTAGAATCGTTCTTAAGGGCTAAACAAGCATCAGGCTTATCTTTCAATATCCCTGGTTCATCAGTTTTATAGGTGAATCTTGATTTATCCTTCACTACAGTGATCAAAACAGGATTTTTTTCTCCATCTTTACAGTTATTAGGAGAGTTTACCTGCTCACCTGCAGACTGCTCTTGCTCACCATTTCTGCCCGTTAAAATCTTCAACAGCTCCTCCACATAACCTTGATTAGTGGACATTCTTGCTTCTAGTGCAGCAATCCTGTTTTCCTGAGTCTCCCACCATTTCGGTGGATTAGTCTCATCGCGGCCTTGTTTCACCAAGGCTGTTAGTTCCTCCATCTGCTTCTGCAACCCAGATAAATCAGCTTCCATACTCTGATTTTTCTTTGTCATGCTCCTGATTTACTTGCCAGAACCAAGGCTCTCGATACCAATTGTTATGGTTTTAGATGATTTAGAAGAGAAAGTGAGAAATAGGTAATAGGAATAGAGAAATTAGAGAGAATTCAGAGAAGAAAATGATCGTTCATTCATGACATCCTGGAAAAATATTCACTCAGCCAATTTATTTAGTTACAATGCCAACAGAAGGATTGCCAGCTGGCTGTCCTTTCTAACAAAATATAACAACCCTTTAATGCTTTGTCTTCTTCTGCAGATACTGGACTAGCTGACTTGGGCTGCCTTCATTCTTCTTGGGCCGGCTCCATCATCTGATATGAATCAGCCTGCTCTACTTCAGGTAATTCCTTAGCCCCTTTCTCACGTGCTTTAATCCTTAATTTCTCTTGCTCAATCCCTAACATTCGCAATTCTTCCCCCAATTCTTCCCCCAATCCTTCCTCGCGTTCTCTCCCTTCTCCTTCCACCATGACAATTTCACCCCAAAAAAATCAACAAAAGATGTAATCTGTAGACATTATACTCGATCAAACTGACAAACGGTATCCAAAGTATAGGATTATATTGATACCGACAGTTAATACTTTTTTGTATTCTCCTATTCCTTCAATACAGTTCAATCCTTCTACGCCCAAATCTCAATTTGTGGAAAGCCTTTGATGGCTTATGAAAACATCATTTTTCTTCTTTTTTTTTTTGGGAGGGGGGTATAGACGGTCAAATAAATTAAATTTTAACACAACCTCGGCTTTAAGTTATAAATTAAAGAATGAACAAAATAACATGTCAGAAGCCAGCAGAATCAGTGTTTTAAATCGCGGTCGCGGTCGCGGTTTAGGTTATTTCGGATTTACAATGATTGCGGCCGTCGCGGGTAACTCGGACAGCGGCGAAACCGCTATATCGTGGCCGAAATCGCGGTCGCGGACCGTTTTTTAAAACCCTGAGCGGAATGTCGAAAAGAACACAGCTCTTACATGAATGTAACTAAAGATTAAGACCATCAAAATCTCTTAGCTAGTGTTATTCTAGAAGGGATAATATATGATACAACATGCTCTGTCAATGTAGAAAATGCTGTGAACTGTGATTTAAAGTATCATACCTCTACCAAAGGAGCATCTAAATGTTCACCTTCCTTGGGCATTGATAGCAATTTGATTCTCATTAAATCATAAATGTACAGCAGGTAGTGAGTGTCTTCTCTAGCATATCTGCCATAAAAACGTAATAAAAAGGAACACTTAAGAGACAGACAACGATGGAAGTTTCCTCTTCAATAATTGCAATCACAGTGACAGGAACTTGAAATTTTCTTCAAGCTTGGAGAGAGTAATATGTTAGTACAAAAAGTACAGTCATAAATAAAGAGCAATGTGTTTTTACCTCACATTGATTAAAAAGTCAAATTTAACTACTATTTACATCTTCGTCTTTGATAGTTTTCTTCTCATAAAAACATAAAATGGCAGTAATGACAGTCTAATAGATTTGATGGTTAAGTTTTTTCCTTTTCCGATAAGTTTGACAGGGTTAACACTCAACCACAAGCACTACTTTGAGAACACAAAAAGTAAAGATGTCACAGTTAGCGTAAAATTGTTCAAAAGGGACAACGGTATAGCAAACCTAGAAAACAACAAAAGTTTGATGCATAAACAATGTCAAATTCATAGGTGAAGTAATGCTTTATTTTCTCTCTTTATTTTTTTATCTATATTTTCTTTTTAAAAAAGTGGTCAATAGCAATCAACCATCTACTTTAATGACAAATGCAAGTGCAGCAATAAGACATTATTTAACTAGCTAAGGAGTAAAAGTGGCAACTGAAGAGAGAAAAAGCAATGTTACCTGAGCATTTCATCAGGAATAGGACGCAATCTCCAATCTGCATTCTGGTACCTGCATTGAGTTGGCTAATCAACTGTAAGGAAAATGGCACAGATGATGATCAAAGAGGAGAGAAGTAGAAAGTAGAAACCATAAAGAAGATCAAATTTAAATCAAAACCCACTCTTTGTTGGCTGTAACTCCACAAAAATGCTGCAGAAGGTGCTCCAAACTATTTCTTTCCAATTTCAAGACCCTTGAAGCCTGAGAAACATGCAAAATCACAAGACAACATATTGACAGAAGTCCAACACAACTTTTAACTTCAAATTCAAAACAATCAAATAATCAATTCATGTGTATAGTAATTGCACTCAAAACTGGTTAAGTAGGTGGTAACTTTATCAATAAGTTCCTATGAGCTTAGCATCCTTGTAATCATCCATAAAACCAGTTAAGTTAGTTTAATCATGTAAACCACAAGTAAAGAGTGTTCATATATAAACGTTGTACCAATTTCCTTTCCCTTAATTAATTGTCACACTGCTAATTAACCAACAAATAATTTCATAAAAAGTTATCATGTTCTACATAAACTTTTTTTCTTAACATATACCAAAAAAAGCGAAGTATTTATAAAAAGAATCAAATTAAATCATCAAGTTCATTGAAGTGGGTTGAAAGTATAAAACCTGTCCAGTGTCAAAGAGATTGCACACATATATGCCAAAGTCTCGTTGCAGCCAAACAATATCCCTGTCTGCTCCATGCATAACCTATTTGAATTAAGGATATCAAACAATGAAGTAAACTAAAAAAAAAAAAAGCTATCAAAAGGATAAACCTTTTTCTTGGTGGGGTCCTTGAAAACTTCCCTGAGATATGGGCCAACATGAATCCGAAGCTTCAAAGTATCTACAATAAAATCCTCAGTTCTGGTAGAAATTTGTATCAAGCAAGTTAGTCCTTGAAAAGATCGATATTGGTTATGCTCCAAATCAACCTGAGAATAATAACAGAGAAAATAAACTAAATGCAAAGAAGTAACATATTATGATAATAAAGAAATTAATCCTACACTTATGCATACAATGACAGACATAACTGGTAGCCCAGATACCAGAGATACACAGACACCTTTCTCCAGATCAGGCAAACACTTCATTCTATATCTTACTATAAACCTATAGCAAAACATGCACCATCACATAAAGCATATTAAAAGTTAGATGTTTACCGCAAACTCCTGCACACTGCGCAACTTCGCTGCTAAATCCTTCAAATCTTTTACTTCCTCAACCAGCTTGAATGACGTAGACTTGATTGATGGGGGTTTAACAGGCTCAATATATGCTATATCTTTATCGACAAGATCCATAACAGAGAGCTTTTCCTGTAAAAGAGAAACAGAATTGTTTTTCTCTTATTTTGGAAAGCACCACAAATTAACATGAGATAAACCAGTAAGTTTCAGAAGCTATTGTTGAACATAGTTGGATGTGTGAGATTTTAAGCTATAAGAACAAGACAAAAAGTAAAATTTTTATCACATCCGTATCTAAATATTGTTACTAAGGTATCTCTTATGAACATGGTAACATTCTTAAAACAATTGCATCCTTCCCATCTTCTAGTTCCTATTATCAACGTCACAATTTGCCCCAATAAAGAAATAATGACCTTGATTACAAGATATGTTACTACAAACCAATGCAAACAGAGACTATCACTTCAATGACATATTTTACTGAACCCCTTCCTTTTAACCATGTAAGGTGCCTATAATTCTAGAAAACTTCAAAAGACAGCTATGTTCTCCTTATTCATCTATGTTGTCTCCATGGGAAAGGTTTCTTTGCTGTGAAAACATTCAAAATAACTATATCAATCACTCACTCTTGCCACTTCTTGTACAAAAATTCGGGCCACAGAAAATATGCAAGTGCATTATCACTCAAAAGAAAAACAAAAGCACCAAGTCCAATGCCCTAGCAATGCCAATAAAAGAATTTCAATTATGTCCTATTCTATTCCTGACCACAAGCATCAAAACTCCCAAACCAGTGTTGTTAAGGAGTGAGCTTAGGCACTGTGCCTTAGCACCGGACGAAAAGGTTTAAAAACCCTTTAGGCCAAGGCCCATTGATCAGACTCACACTTGATGAGTGTAGGGACAATTCTTTGTAAGGCGTTTAAAGCAAAAAAAGCCTCTCATTGAAATTCTCTCCAATTTCTTTATTTTTTTATTAAATGCATCTTTAATAGTGAAAATGAGACAATATCAAAATTTCTAGGTCTCAGTGTTTAACCCATCAACAACAAGCATGAGACCATAAGAAATGTGTGTATTGGCCTGTAGAAAAAAATTGCATGTTTTGTAAGATAAATTAGACCACTTTTGAAGTTTCATTATCAGAATTATATGTCTTAAGCTTATACACACACAAGAGAGAGCGAGAGAGAGAGAGAGAGAGCCAAACAAATGAATTGCTCCTTAGTTTACTCAAGCAGGAGCTTTTCACCCTTTGCACCTCAGTACAGAAAGATTATAAAATCATCCTACAAAATATGAAATTCAACACTCGTTGAATTAACCAAACAAAAACGGAACATTGTGCTGTTATCCTATAAGGCTATAACATAAGTAACCAACTAAAATGAGAAATATTATGCAAGCATTTACAAATCAACTACGACATATTTATGCCCCAAAAAGAGAAAAAAGAAGAAAAACCATAGAAGACATATTAAACAAGAAAAAACCAACCAGTGGATGAACAAAACGCTGCCCATCTTCGCTCCTCTGCAACCAAACATGTTCGAAAGGCTGATTCGAATTATTGACAAGTATATTATACTCTTCCTGAGGCTTCCGTATCGTTGGTATATGAAATGGCACCTTCGCTTTCCCTGTCGTCCCTGTAGCCAACGCCCCTTGCTTCACCTTTACTCCAGAAGAACTCGAACCCCCACCTTCGTTCCCACTCACTGACACTCTAGCCGAGTCACTCATTAACCCACCATCCACCTTCTTCTTCTTCTTCCCGTAAACCAGCTGAAACCCAATATTATCCGGAACCGACCCTATGAACCGACCCGTCGCCTCTTCTTTCTTTCGAATCTTTTGAAACTCGTCCATGGAAACGTCGAATCGTTCCCAAATTTCATCGTTGATATCAACGAGCCAATCATAAGCTTCATCATCGACTATACTTTCAATATTGTTAGGGAAATTGATCACCTTGTTAGCGCCCCAGGTTTTAGCCGATGCGCCAATGGATTCAAGCAAAGAATCTGATATTTTGGCAATTTGATCGATCGGAAGCTTGAAATCATTGAAGTTGTTGAAGAAATGAAAGTCTTGATTGGAAGGGAGGATTCGAGAAGAGGAAGAGAGTGAAGAAAGAGAGGAAGAAAGAGGACCTGCAGCTAATGTTTGAATAACTTGAGAACTTTCTGAAGGTTGAGATTGGTCTTCCATTGTCATCTGATCGTCGTTGTCGTTCATCGTTTTTTAGGGTTTATGGTGAAAGAAAACATTAGGTTTTTGAGAATTTTAGGAAGTTTTTCTTATTATCTCCGAAGTAGACGATAAAGCCAAAAAAGGAAATTGTTGAAGAAAGGGTAAAATACAGTAATTGGTCACTTAAGTTTTAGATCACTTCCACTTTGATAATAAAAATAGAAAATTTTGCATTTTAATCATTATGTTAGGCTTAATACCCAAATAAGTGCCCAAATTATATCCTTTTTCTAAAATAGGTGCCTACAGTATTTTTTGGATCATCCAGGTACCTAACATTACAAATGTTACCACTTTAGGTGTTGGGACTTTTAACGGCGTTAATTTCCTCCGTTAAGTGACACATGTCTCAATCTGATAATTTTTAAAAATTTTATATAAAATTAATATATATATATATATATATAATTTAAAAAGAAAGCACATAAATTTTAAAATAACTCCAAAACTTTGAAAACCTTTATTTCAACCCCTAAATCCACGTCGATCGCCTCCCTTTGTCATCGACGAAGCTTCATCTGACCTCACTTCCCCCCGGCGACCAAAATCCCTATGAAATTGTGACCAATTGACGGTGAATTGACGTTTTATACTTTGTGAACTCTATGATGAAAATCGTGATCCCACACGATTCCGAAGGCCAATCGACGACAACTACAATGATGTATAACTAGGATGATGGCAGAGACTATGTCGGCGGCGGTAGTTGTGGCTGGAAAGGGCAACATTGATAGGTTAGTGTTAGGATTTAGAAAATTTAGGGATTTTGAGGCTTTTTTTTTGTAATTTAAAAGAAATTAGGTTTTTTATAATAAATATAATAATATTTCTAATATTTAAAAAAAATTAAAATTATCATATTATGACACGTGTCACTTAACGGAGAAAACTAACGGTCACTACGTTTTGGGCACCTAAAGTAATTACGTTTGTAATGTTAGATATATGGATGGTCCAAAAAATACTATAAGCACCTATTTGGAAAAAATTTACACTTATTTGAGTATTAAGCATTATCGTTAATAAATGTTTTCATTTCGATCATTTGAATCATCATGTCCACTTTTCATTTTCTAATAAATTAATATCATCTAATAAGATGATAACATGAACAAATCAAACGACGATAATGATAAAAAAGAGTTATTTTTTCTAAAAATCTTGAATTCGAATAATTATGGTGTGCGAAATGTAACACTGAAAATTCTTGTCATTGTGTGGTGTTAGAGTGAATGTCTTACATATTGACAAAGGATATAACACTTGTCCTCCCTTTAGTTATGGAAGTGTTATACGATAACGGGATTTAAAATGTATTATTGTTTGATTGGTGAACTTCGGGCCATGAATATCCTTATAAAAAATTGGTTGAAGACCCAAGAAAATTAACGAGCCATCATTTCTATGAGTAACCTTAGCCATGAATAGGTCTGTAAACGAACCGAATGCACACGAACGGAGATATGCTCATGTTCGTTCATTTAATAAATAAATGAACATAAACGAATAAATTTTTTTTGTTCATGTTCATTCATTAAGGAATATAGCTTGTTCGTTTATGTTTGTTTATTTCAATGATAAACGAACACAAACGAACGAACATAATAAATGAACATAAACGAACACAATAAACGAACATAAACGAATAACACAAACACAAAAACAAACTTACTCGAACACAACAAATGAATGTAAAAAAATAAACAACAAGAATAACAACTTAAAATTCATTAATATAACCTGAAACTTTAGAGTTAATTTGTTCAAATACGACAAAAACATACATAAATCATAAATAAGCTATATGAACATAATAAAGTTTAAAGTTAATTTGTTCAATAAAAGAATCTTCTTGAAATCCAAACAACTTCAATAATCTTTGTAACATATTCAACTTGCCCTCTGTTCGAACATAAATGAACGAACATAAACGAACATATAATCGAACGTTCACGAACGTAAATGAACGAACGAGCCCTTTGTTCATGTTCGTTCATTTAATTAAACGAACGCAAACTCTTGTTCATATTCGTTCATTTAATAAATAAACGAACATAAACGAACTTCCCGCCGCACGGTTCATGAACGGTTCGCTGAGTTCATTTACAGGGCTAACCATGAAATCCGCTGCACCATTTACTTCCCTCTTCACCAAGTTGAAATCAACGTACCAAGCTTTACAAAGAAGAGTGGATATCATACGAATTTGAGAGAAAGGACTACCAATCGAAACAGTTGATATCATATAACCACGGATATCCGACTTATTATTAATTAATTTAAATTGAGTATTATAGAAGAAGCAAAATTATATCCCATTGAATATCTCAAAATTTAATATTTCTTTATTTAAATCGAAGATAGAAAGTATTAATTTAATGCAGTAAAGACACTTCCCGTTTGAAAGATAATTGAACATTATTTTTTCTCCTTAAATTCCTTAATAAAGAATAAAAATGCTACATTCATTTATTCATTCATTATAGGAGTCATTCAAATGGATTTGGATTTAAATAGTAATATCGCCGAGGCAGTATCTGAAATTGCTATCGCGAAAAATAACGGTGTAAAATGAGATCACACCAATAGCGGCAAATCGCGACTGCAATTTAACGGGACCGCTATTCCGCTATTATTTTGTTATTTTATTATTTTTTTTAAAACGGGTTTTTATTAAAAAATCAGTTCCTTCGAAATCACGATTGCGATATCTACAATGACCGTAATAAACGCAACGCGACCGAAAACACTATTTAAATCCTGGTCATTCATTAAAATTAAACTTGAATTTATATATTTTTCATTATAAAAACAAAAAATTAATCGATTAAACCTCTAGTTTAAGACTCCATGAATGTGTACCAAAGATTGGAATACTAAATGAGGTGACACTGGTTTATGGACGATAGAAGAACTTTATATGCTTCCATGAAGATGAACTGTCATAAAAGCTGCTGTTTCAGGTGAGGAATACCAGAAATTAGCTCTTCTTGATAATAGTTGATCTTGAATCTACTGGACTTGACCCTTTATTTCTATGAAAGTTAATAAAATTTTGACATTTTTTATTCAGAAACTGCTATTGAAATATAAATGTATATTGTCCAAGCATGGATGTATATATGTGCTCATCATGGTGACTTTTGACAACAATTTCCTTTGTTTTATTGCTATTGTCATTTGTGAATACTAATTACGCTCAACAGTTATTCCTATAGAGAAGAAAATCTATAACCTGTGATGGTAATATATGCATATATCAAACGAACATTCAACTATGTTTCGGGCGAAGTAAAGCGTGAAGCATGCCTATTCAGGGTTGACAGGGGCCTCGTTAATGACCCGAATAGGGGTAGGCGGGATCGAGTCCCACCACTCTTTCAACCGCCGATTTTGATCTCGATCTCCTTGGTTGTTTCCAATATACTTCCCTACCAGTGATGTCGTGACCATGGAATGAAAAACAGCGGCAATTATGATATACTTAAAGGGAATCAGAGCAAACAACATCGCCAATCCGATCATCACGAGCATCACCGTATTTGCATGCTGAAATGGATAACAAGCGTGTTAATTTCCTTGGAGTATGGAATTATGAACCAAAGATTTCTCCAAAAGAACAAAAAAAAAGCACAAAGTTTCACCATAAATCTTGCGGAGGAATGCATTTAATTTTGCTTAATCTTAAAGTTCCAAACTCAAAGAATATGTAATTGCATGAATACCTTGTGTGCCCTCGAAACCAGAAGTGAATGCAACTTCAGTATCGTTACATTCGCCTCCTTTATTGTCTCACGAAGTGTCAAAAATCTGTATTGAGCAGAGACTACATTCTCTCTCGTACTCGCATTATTGTCGGAGCCGGTGTACACAACTATCTCCTTTTGCTTGTCTTTAAGCCTTTCTTGTCTTGCTCTTGCCATATTCGCTACCACCAGAAGCAAACCAAAACATATCGCCTTGCCGATCCATTCCCTACAATAAGAACATCATGCCTAGTTAATTTACTGTCCTATGATTCGAATTTGCATCAAGATTTTGAATTTTTTTACATGTACTAGGTGGAAAAAAGAAAGAAAGATCAAAACCGACTTACTTGTATACTAACAGTGTAATTATGGCAAATGCCAGAACAGTAGTTGCTGGTCTCTCCCATGAAAAGATGTCTCGAAACCAAGGGAATACACTTCTAAGTGGCTTTAGTAGCTCCTACATATGCCAAAAGAATAAGTGGCACCAATAAGTTCTTAATCACTATGAAAAGTTTCATTGGCTCATCGAAAGCAATGCTACAGGGTCCCGGATCATGATATGATGTGCACCCTCTTACCATGATTCAAAGTGTGCATGTTATGCTCACCCTGCAACCGGAATGATAGGCATACGAGTGGAAAGAGTGAGTAATTACCATAAGAATCATAGCACTTTCACTGATCCCTTCCTCTTTCAGCCCCTCGACCGTGGCTCTAGCTTTGGCAACTCCTCTTCCTTCCTTTCTCGCTTGATCAATGGCAGTCCCGAGTGAGATCTTATCATCATCATCTTTGCCAACTGCAATAGTTTTACTCACCTCATTCACTCTTTTCACTTCTAAACTTGACATGATGTGCTCTGGAAGGTTCAGTTTCCTCAATATCGAGCTTGCACTACATGGTTGCCCACTATCTACCTCCTTTAGACTCTGAGCAAGCTGTTCGAGTACATAATCCCCTTTTGGTAACTCTTCATACAAACCGAAAATCAAGAAACTTATCGGATTTGGTGGACAAATTCTTAGCATTTCTCTTGCTGCATGAAGCCTTATTATGCTCAAAATGGTCCTTGCATGCATCTCCCACGCTTGTATGGGACATTCCACCTCAAAATCTGATAAAAATTTGTGCATTAGCAGAATCTCCTTAGTAAGTGCTAGCCAATGGTCGCGCCTTGTGGAGCTTGTAATCTCGGGAAACTCCAGCAGAACTCCTGGTCTAGAAAAACTCAAAAACTAAAGTCAGAAATAACTAGTTCTTCACATTTGTCAGTACAAGGTAAAACATTACTTCGAAATTTCAGTACCATTTAGCTAGACAAGCTGCAAGTATAACTTACAAGTCAGGGGACTCGTAGATTATGGCTTTGTCGAAAAGTGGAGCACCCCATGGACCTGTTGCAGCTGGTTTAACACTGTGATCAATTTTCCTCGTAAGATCAATCTTAAGTGCATCTTCGTAGTTTATTGCCCCAGAAGCCTCAAAGTAGAGAGCGTAATTAGTCAGTGTAAGCCTCCCTAGAAAAGTACCCTTCACAGTGAGTGATTACTTGGTAACAATCACTCAAATTGTAGTAAGATGAGACATTTATTTGATCATAATAGAAACAGAAAACTAACCAGGCCAACTTGTGCCTTCAATATGGCGTACTACTCTTTGTGAGCTAGCTGTTCCTTCGACATGTAATATAAATTCATCATCAGCCAACTCTACACCGTTCGGTTTTGCTTGTTTCTGCAAATGCTTCATGCAACTGTTGACCAACAGTTTTCAAAGGCATATTAAACACTTACAATATTGCAGTTAAAACGAGTAAAGTTAATTGTTTGATTCTACCACTGTCAGAATTCTGTTATACTGTTCAACAGAGTTGTGATAATTAGTTTAAGTCTCACCGATGGTGCTGGTTTATTACTATATGATCATTGATGTTTATGCAGATGAGATAAAATTAAAACTAAATGAAAGCAAACCGAAAGTGCCGTCTATGACGATAATATAATCAAGGTAATCCTGCAATGATAAGTCCTCAGAAAAGCAGCATTTCTTTCAAGTAGAGTTTGGATTGCATACTTGTGAATTTCTTTTAGGAACCTATCATATGCTGGGAAAAAGAGGTGATTTCCGGTAGGCAAGGTAAGCTTTTCGAACGTGAATCTTCCGTTAGTGATGTCGGCAGCTAATGGAACTAATGAACTCAACCACACAAAAGCATCTCCTTCAACACTCGGATCATGATTAACCTATCAAGAAAAGTGCACAAATCAATTGTCTAAGAATGACAAAACACTCTTGATAAACATAAACATATATTCATATAGTACAGGCATCAGTTTCTCCAATCAATTATTTTGTGAACAAATTAAAGCAATCGAGTGATTAGAAGTAAATTTTCTTACGAGGAGTGGCATCTGGTCCGAATAGAAAAGAGAGATATCATCCTGCTCGGTCGGCTCTTGTACTCGTATAGTTCTATCTTCTTTCCCCTTCCCAAAGTACTCCTGCTAACTCAACATAATTATATCAGAACTATGCATGTAGAGAAAGTTGTCAAAAGGTAAATTTGACTAACTATAAGGCAAATATTACAAAGAACATGAAAAAAACAAAATTGCACAACAAATTTCTTCCAAAATGGATTGTTCAGGCAAAAGATTGCAACTCAAAATCGAAGAAAATTCCAATGTAGACTATGATCGAGAGGTTAATATATGCCCACCGATCGCGGCTCTTCGTCGACAGCTCTTGGTTTCTCCCAAGCAAGCATCATATCATATGTAAACCGGCTATATGATCCATTGCTCATCTTTTCTTTCATATTTTGACACAAGTTAATCAGGGCTTTTAGGCTGCAAAATTCCACTAATTTCTTCGAAAAATCGCCTGCTTCGGGTTCCCATTTCGCTTCGAATTCTTTTACCAAACGATCCACTGAAGAACCAAGTTCCCTGTGCAAATTTAGATTATTGAAAGCTCTCTTATTATGCTGTGCGTGTACCATGTTTGAACATGCAAATAAATATAGGAAAAAACTGATAAATGCATACATACATACATGCATATATATATATATATAAACACATTCGTTCACCCATCACAAGGTAAGAAGAATCTACCAAAAAGATCAAACTGACAGTGTGATAACACTATGTAAAACACATATCATTTAAGAAAAAAAGTGTTTATATATATATATATATATATATATTACTCTGCACTTCGTTGAAGAACATGGTTGGCAATGGAAGAAAGATGCTTCCTCTCCAACATCATCTTGTTCGACTTCTTGAATCTCTTGCTATTTTGCTTTGATCAATGAAGAAAAATAGCTTATGGCCTTTTGAATCTTCGATTATCAAAGGAAATGAAGGCGGCAAAAGAACCGAAGAGGTGGGTTCTCCTATGGCTGACACGTTGGGTTGGCCATGCAAATTAACAGCTGTTGTCCTTACGTGCTTACATTTCAAAAAAAAATTCTTCAATTCCTCGTTCTTCTATCCCATTATTTTAAGTTTTTATTATTAATTCTGTCATCAACTATGCAGGTTAACTAAAATGTATTCATCATATTTATTTGTAAAATTTAATTCAAATATTTTTTTTTATAAATACAAGGTAATATATGTTAAAAAATAATTATTTTTAATTTTTTGACATTGAATACTTTTACTCATGATATTTCTTATGCTCGAACCAGAGACTTCAAAGAATAATAATAATTCTTTTACCACCGAAGTCACTGAAGTTCTTCACCTTAATTCGAATATATACTTTTGAAAAATAGAATTATTAAATAAAATTGTATATAAGATTATTAATTTTATTACCAGGTTGGAACATTACCAGGTGGTTGTATATTTGGGCTTTAAATACTGGGTTTTTTTGGCTCAACGAAAATTTTAGGTTTAATACAAACATAAATGTCTGAATTATATACAACGTTTATTTTAGATGTACAAAGATTTTTTTTTATTAAAAATATGTATATAATATTTCTAACGTTACATTTTTAGTTATCTATATCATAACAGCCGTGAAAAAATCATTAAGTGACATGTATCACTCTTATATATTTTTTAATATTTTATTTTTAAAAAGAAAACTTAAAATATTATTATTTAAAAAACCTCATTTTTTCCCTAAATTTACAAAAAGACCTCAAAATTTCCAAATTCTAAATACTCAAACCCTAAAATCTAATCTTTCCCACTGTCAACCACCACTAATGTCATCATCGTCGGTGGAAATCCTCACGTTGTTGACCAGTCGAAACCCCACGTTGTCGATTGACTGGTGAAGTAGAACGATGATGCACGATGAGTGAAAACTTAATGATCAAAACCCCAAATTGTCGTCGGAGTTCGTATATCTGGAAGGAAGTGGGACGAGAAAAACGTGAGGGGATGGAAGGGAGAGAAAGCAGGGGGTGAATGGGAGGGAAGGAACGACCGAGAGGGGGGGGGGGAATGGGAGGGAGAGAAAGCAAGGGTAGACGGGAGGGAAGGGACGACAGGGGGAGGGGAAGACACTGGGGGAATTTTTTTATTTTTTAAAAAATAAAAAAATATAAATGTGATATGTGTCGTTTAACGATTTTTTTAGCGGTGGACACCTAAACGTGTAACGGAAAAAAACGTTAAATAACTATTTTTAGCAAAAAAAAAAACTTTAGACATATAGAGTTAACTTTGTGTATAGTTTGAACAATTATTTTACATTAAGCCAATATTTTATATAAAATTTAATATGTGTTTGCGGAAAAGTTATAGAACTACTCAAATTGCTCAAAAACAATACGACACCTGAAGTAATATAACACAAACGCCTAAATCAATCACAAAAGCAATGACAAAATCATAAATTAGAAAATTAATAGTGTCGTGACCAAACATAAATTCTTCAAATCCCATAATTCGTTAAAGGGAGATGGTCTAAAATAACCATCAACGTAATTCGAAAGCTTCTCTCCTCCACCATCGAACATGAAGATCAAGGATCCGCCTGAAAAAAGAGAGGATCCTCCCTGCAGACCTATAATATCATAGCTCCAAAAGGGTCCACAACAACAAAAACAAGCCAACACATTAGAGACTCTTGTTTTGCCGCTCAAAACCATCTCACCTACCTCTGCAACTGATCGCATTTCAAGTGCACCGAAATCTAATAAAGACAGAAACAAACAACCATAACAGAACCACTTCAACACCTCAGAAGACAAAAAAGTATACTACATTCAAATCAGATTACATCCGATAAACTCAACACGATCGAAAGAGGGAAAAAAACATTATAAGAAATAACCATTCAACCAGCAAAGTCCTTAAAATTTGAGTTTACATAAGAGTGGTTATTCACTAACAATAGCCCTGAAAATTTTATCCAATATCTCTTCTCATTTTCTCTAAACCCTAGTGGCGAGCTTCATTTCTTTGCTTCTCTCTCCTCTTCCTAATTTCTTCTGTTTCTAATGCTCCTGTAATCTGGTGCGTTTTCAGTGTTCTTGGTATTAGGTTGTGCTTGTGGGACTTGAAGTTGCCTAGTAGATGGGTAATCGGCATCGCTATATCACAGTGGATAGCGACAGCTTGTAGGCAGAGCACATGATTAGTAGAGATTAGGGATAAAAATCTCCATTGTGGTTGTACCCCAGAATCCAACATTTATGTCAACGACAATGGCACCAACATGCTCAACGTGAAGCAAATGCAGTTGCAGATTCTTTAGCTAAAACTTGTGATCCCAGTAGCTTTGAATTAATGAGCTTCACGAACCTCCAAAGTGTGTGAATGTATTGAGTGATCTTGGTTATGAACGTGTACGTGGCAACTGGCCTTATGATTCAAATATTGGAACCTATACTATTAGGAACGGAATTAGGATTAAACGTTGAGTGGATAAAGTTATTTTATATTAAAAGAATAATAACCTATTAAGTAGTTAAATCTAAAAATTAAAAGGGACAAAAATCTTATTTTATTAATATTTAAACTAAAAATATTGCAACAATCCCTCTAAACTACTATGTAGCTAGGGATGGGCACGGGGCGAGACGGACTGGGTTTTTGGCTGCCTCGACCCTGATCCGAAAATATATTCTTAATACCAAACCTTGCCTACCCCGATAACTTTTATGTTTTCTCTCGCCTCGATTTTTAGACTATAACCCCAACTACACACAAATATATAGATATTTTAGATAATTTAAATAATATATTTTATAATTATTTACAATATTATAATAATTAAATAATATATTTTAATATTATAAAAATAAAAATATATAAAATTTTAAATATATTATATATTTTATACCAGGTTGAATCGAGTTGGTAATTTTTCACCTTAAACCCGACCCTACCCTAAACCTACCTAATATATAACTTGTCTCGTCCCGAACCTCAAAATTTTAAAAGAAAAACCGTCCCAATAGAGTCAGTCGAGTTGAGACCCGTCGGGTTCTAACATTTTTACCATCCCTATACGTAGCTACGTTCCTGTACACTATTTACTAAAAAATGTAAATATATATGAACTATTTAAATAATCCTTTTGGAGAAAACTTATAAATAGCACTGGGAAATGTACAATAACGGTTTTTGACGAAACTGTTTGGAGTTTAATTTAATTTTGTAAGTGGAGGTTTAAATTTACTTTTAAGGGTAATTTACTTATTTAATCACCCATATATTCCCACAGTTCCATTTTGGTCATTCAACTATTTCTTTTTTAAAATCATATCTAACGTTATATTTTGGTTCCGTTTTAATCATCTGCCGCTAAAAAATAAATGGAACTGTTGACATGGTAATTTTTTTTATTTTTTTTAATGATGACATAATATTACCTTATAGTGACACGTCAACATAGCCGTTAACTTTTTAACTGAGTAATCAAAACGTAATGTTAGATATGATAAAGAAAAAAAAGTTGGGTGACTAAAATAAAATCGTGAGAATAGGTGGGTAACGAAATATGCAATTTATCCTAATTAAAAAAAATTGAAGGATTTAATTTATTTTTAAAATAAGGGGTATAATTATAAATTTTAAAATTTTAAGATTTAATAAGAGTTTTAAAAAATTGAGAGGAAATTTACTTAAAAATAATTGAAAATTTTAAAACTTAATCAGTATTTCTAAAAAAAAATTAAAGGTATCAAATTAAAATTTTAAAAATATGAGAAACTGCATACTAAATTTTCCAAAATTTTAGAGGGCTAAGACCCTTTGCCCCGTCTGCCCCTGGAAATGCATTTGTATAGTAAACAAATAATAATCATAAAGTTATTATTTCAATAATATTATTATAATTATATTATTTGTTAAGCGGACCTTTGGTGTCTCTTTATTAGTTTATTCCTAGTTTAATCGCTGAACAATGACCTTTATTTTAAATTGGACCCTAAATATTTTGAAAGTTTTAGTTTTATCGTAAACTATATGTATATATTAATCACATACCTTATTAATAAAATCATTAGGTCAAGTTATATTATTATCTATTTAGAAAAAAATTGAGGTTAAACTATGGTTGAAATTAATTATATATTTAGATGAATTCGGGAATAAAATTAGAAGATTCAAATGTTTGGGGACCAATTTAGAAAGTGGGTAATAGTTTAGGGATGAAATTGGAATGTTTAAAAGTTTTAGAAATAATTTAGAATTAGAGTCATTGTTTAGGGATGAAATTGAAGTATTTAAAAGTTTAAGGACTAATTTAAAATAAAGGTTATAATTTGAGGATATATGATGTCATTAACTCAAAGAAATACCCAACGAGAGGGAGGCCTTAATTTTAGTTCTTCCTCATTTTTATCCTATAAAAGTAAACCAAATTAGAAACGAGGACAATAAAGTAATTTACCCAGTAGACGCAAGTGTATAAATAGCAACCCTAAAACATATTTGTTTCCATGGCAATAAAAAAATCATAATACAAAAGCAGAAGAAAAAAAAAAGAAAATGTCGGTAATAGTAGATAAGTTGAAGGACATGATGGGAGGCGACAGTGACGACGAGAAGAAAGGAGAAAAGAAGGACAAACATCACAAAGATAACAAGGATCACAAGCATCACAAAGACCACAAAGATGAAGGGATGGTGGATAAGATCAAGGACATGATCCACGGTGACAAAGACAACGACGACAAACACCACAAGAAAGACAAAGACAAAGACGATAAGCATCACAAGAAAGACAAAGACGACAAGCATCACAAGAAGGATAAGGACGATCATGGTAGCGATGGAGAGAAGAAGAGGAAAAATAAGGGGAAGAAGAAGCATGGAGACGGCCATAAGAGCGGTAGTGACAGTGATAGTGATTAAATCATCATCATCATTATCTTCGTTTATGCAGTTGCAAGGTATGAATAAAATATAATAATAATATGACAATAAGGTATTTTTTTATTGAAAAAGTTAATTAGTATTCGTTGTCACGTGTGAAAAACATGTGAATACTAGTTAATTTTATGTTTTTGATTATGTTAGTTTTTATTTTATTTTATTTTATTTGTGTTAAACGTGAATATACGTGTTTAATATTTTATTATTTAATGAAATCTTTTATCTTATGAATATAATCTGAGTAATATTATTAGAGATATGACACTTCTAAATCATGAGTGGAATAATTACGTAAGTAAGATTCTATCTGTCGTGAATATAAGCTACAACTCTCCCCTTTCACGTTAGGACACATCTAAATCTAATGAACGAAGCATTATTAAATAAGTTAACAGTGACGCTTTGATTAAAATAGTTCTAAATTGTTCGAAACTCCGCTGTCGCATTTTGTTGACTCAAATGAAACTATCTTTAGAATCAACTTAATCAAACATATGAAAATAATCAAGAATTCCTTAATGAACAGTTGGTAGTATCTTGCGAGCCAAAGGAAACTGCGAACCTCTAAAACGTCTCTTGCTGGCTTGTGATGATTCTTTCATTCTGCATTGCATCGTGGTTCATACGACATTGAGCTTCGATGTGGTTCCAAATGAATGGTTCACAACAAGGAAGAAACAAGTGTTTATTGATAGTGGTATCAAGGTCATGTTCGTTGGTTCACCTGTATACGATCAATATAATCCCCTAGATCCGGCCTATGCGTTACGACCAAATCTAGCGGACTACGATAAAGTTTTCCAAAACATTTTCAATAATTTAAAACTATATTCCGAATAAACATATTTAAAAATAGATTTGATAATAATATTAAAATTCAATTCCAGTAAATAAAAGTCGTCGTAAGGACTAAATAAAAATAAAATATTTCAACATCAGTATCGAAGGAAATATAAATCATAAAACCAACATTTTCAAAATATAGACACATGTGACCCAAAATAAATACAGCTCGGAAGATAAATACATTACAACAAAATATCATTGTACCAATGTGTCGATCCTCCAAGTGCTAGGTCTGGGATGCCTATCCAAAATATCTAAAAGAGAAAAGTTTGGGGGAGCGAGCTAGGGAGTTCAGTGTGTTCCAACAGTGCAGAAATAAAACATATAATTTAGATTTCAAAATTTGTTCATCAATAAAGTCATGAAACGTTGGTAGAGTTTCCAAAATCAGTTCAGTTCCAAATTGTGAAAACGTCAGTAGTGTTTTTAGCTTAAAAAATACATAATCGCCCTCCAACCGAACACCATATGCAGTTCCCCATAACTGCATCCATAAGGACTTACCCTATGTTCGAAGGGAGTAGTTGCCAACCTAAGGGAGTACATTGGGTCCATAAGGTCTTACCCTAGCCGAAGCGTAGATGCCCACCTGAGGGGAGTTCCCTCAGACCCATAAGGATTTACCTAATCCACATAGCAGAGGTGCCACCCTAAGGGAGTATCTTAGGGTCCATAAGGTCTTACCACTAGGCCTATTAGGCCCAGGAGCCCACCCAAGAGTAGCCTTAGGTCCATAAGGAATTACCAGTTCGATCGGTCTAAACCTATATAAGGAATTACCAGTTTGATCGAGCTGAACCTGCAGAGACTTCATACTAAATCCCAAAGTACCCCGAAGAAAAACATTTTTCAGACGATAACTAGTGGTGGCAGGAAATCATAGTTCAAAAAGATACCAATTCAATAAAATCAGTAACCAGAGAACAAGAATCAGGCAATCAGGCTTAAATTTTAGTAAATAAAAAAATCAGGCTTTAAATCGGATAAATCATACGAAAACAAGTTAAACAGATAGTCACAATGCAAATAAGACAAATAGTCATGTGCACATGGTATTTCAAACATATATTTAAAGCATGTATATGGCACATAAGAAACCCACTTCGTAAAAAGAAATAATCCGGAATATCTACCGAACACTAGCTTCACTAAGTTCTTCGACTGTACGAGAACTTAAGTCATATTAGAACAGGGTTATAATCGGAGGAATAATCTAAACTAAATATTTAACAAGGTTACAAAACTATACGGGTAATCACTGGCTTGCGTTGCGGATAGATAAGGAGAAATCAGGTCGAGCAGACGAACGATCAGGAGATCCACAAGTACCTTAAATATATAACAACATTATTTCATTTATTAACCTTAAATTAAATGAACTTAATTAAATTACTTAAGTTACATATGCATATTCGAGTTTGACGGTTAATTTGGAGGCTTTCGGGTTCGAATTTGGCAAAACAAACTTCATTTCGAACTCACGAAGTCAATAAACATATAATGTGACTTTTTTGTTGTTGCAAATTTTGACTTTTTTTTGTCAAAGTCAACGATCAACGATTAAAGTCAAAGTCAACGAGCAGGTCAACAGTCAGGTCAAAGTTAACAGGTTGACTATGTCTGAGTTGAATCGACCGAGTTGACTCAACTTGACAGGTTCGGGTTGACTCAGTTCGGTATGAGTTGACTCGATTCAGTCAAACAGACCCGATTCAGACCGGTTTGGGCCGATCCAGACCGACTGGACAGGTCTATAAAGCTTTCTTGGAACGTTGAAGAGCCCCACGAGCATTGTCGACGCTTGTGGCAGCGACGGAGGTCGGGGTGATTGGTCGATTCTTCCGGGAGCATCTACACACCAAAAATAACTCAAAACAACCTATTTACAAGCCAAAGCACCGGAAAATAACCGAATCAAACGATCGAAAACTTACCCACGATAGACGGTGTGAATAACAAACTCGGTTGAGTTTTTGGTGCATGACAACGAGGAATCCAAATGTGGTAGCGAAGAGGCGAACCGACGAAAACGACGATATAAATCGATGATTAACCGAGTGGTGAGGTCACGAGCGGTTTAGTCTCAATTCAGGCCAAACGGTGGCCGATTCGGGCCGTTGACGATTGAGGATGGGTCGCCAGAGGACGCCAATTCGACTAGTGGTGACAGAGCGCGATAATGGTGACCGAATCAGTGAAGGGGAGCGACGACTATGGTTGGGAATTGAGGATTTTTAGGGTTTGAGAATTTCACACAGATGAGGGGTTTCTGATTTTTGGGTATATAATCCAGGCCGAAGATTTAAATAATATATTTATTAAATTATAACATAAACAATACCTAGCCTAAATAGTATAGGCGTGGGTAGCTTTACTTAGGGGCCATGGGTTCAAGCCTCTTTAATCACCCTATTTTTTTTTTAATTTTTTGGTGTCAGATAGGTTATGGAAAATTACGGGATTAGTCCCTGAACTTCTTATACATTCAAATTTTACCCAAAAATATTCATTTTAGTCTCTGAATTAAATTAAATTAAATTGAATTAATTGCAATATATATATATATATGGGGTGTGACAATCAACTTGTGATGGATGGTTCAATGGATGGAATCAGAGAGGTATTAGAGGTTAATTATCCAACATGGAAACTAGTTGATTCACATGGTCAAACATTGCTTCATATTGCTATAGCTCAAAGTAGACTTGATATTGTCCAATTACAGCTTGAAATCGAGCCCGATGTCGAGTTCTGGAGTCAGTTGGGCTCTACCCCGCTCGAGGCTGTTGCAGGATGTGGCGAAGAATTGATTGTTGGAATTCTATTGGCATATAACGCCATCACAGAGCGATCAGAGTCCTCTCCTTGGGGTTCGGTCCATCTTGCAGAAGTGAGTGGCCATATAGAGGTTCTTAGACTTCTTTTGCTCAAAGGGGCTAATGTTGGTGCCCTCACAAAGGATGGCAACACTGCCTTACACCTCACAAAGATTGACAATAACCATCGAGAGTCTGATCGAGAACAGTGCTGCCATCGACGGAAGTAATCAACATGGATGGACGGCTTTACACAGAGTTGCATTTAAGGAAGAAATGATGCCGTGAGGATGCTGATTGATGAAAGAATCGATATCCATTCAAGAGACGAAGACTAAAAGTGATTGTGTTCAAATTATTTTATATCTATACAATTTTTTTTTTAATTTTTTAGATAGATTTTCATTCATTATTCACTAAGCAGAAATCTGTTACAATTTTTGTTATTGATGGGATGATGATGTAAGTTGCTGGTCTCCATTGAAATGATGTATGACATAATTTTGATGACCAGTTTCAAGGTGGAATGTTGCCCTTGCACTCATTCTTAGCGATAACCAATTCTGAATAAGGAACCACAATTTCAGCACCACTACCACCAGCATCCGACTTCGACACCATGTCGACCTACCTATCTGTTGGATAATAACTTGCTGAGGGCTCTACCTCAACTTATGTAGACTCGGGATCCACTTGCCTCCAAGTTTGTTGTACGAGAGTCTAATTTAAAACTAATTTAAGATGGTTTTCAATATAAAATGTTATCTTGTTCAACCTAAAAAATTGTACAAATTTTTAACATTTTCGATTGTAATTGAAAAATTACATTGCGGAGGTTTATGGTTTACAACCGAAAATGTTTTGAAGAATATAATATTTTCGGTTGTAATCGAAAATGTTACGAAGAATATAATATTTTCGTCGGTTACAATTGAAAATATTATTTTATTCAATTAAATAATTATACTTGTAATAAATTTTTCGATTATAACCGATTTTTACTTCTTTTTTTTAGAAGCTGGCCATTGAGACGTTGATTTTGCAGCCCACAACCAGCATCCATTTAGTTTAAACATCGACCTACGCACATCTTGAATTGAAGAGAACCGAACAAAGCCTATACGCGTCGCTTACCTAGCCAACACCTCTTAACACGAATAAAAGCATAAACATCAGCCAAACGTCACCCATAAACTCTTATGATAAAATACATTGATTGACCAAAAAAATATTATTAATATAGCATATATATCATATACACCAATTATCTCATATTTCCATATATAAAATCATCTAAATATACTAAATAAATAATTT